TGATCATCTCACTAAATGCAGAAAAGATCTTTGACAAAATCCATCATCTTTTATGATGAAAGTCCTAGAGAGATTATGGATACAAGGGACAACCCTCAATATAACCCTCAATATAATTATGGCAGCTTACAGCAAACCCATGTCCAACATCAACTTAAATGGAGAGGAACACAAAGAAATTCCACTAAAATCAGGATCAAGACAAGGTTGTACACTCTCTCCGCACCTATTAATATAGTAGTTGAAGTTCCAGCTAGAGCAATGACAGGTGAAGACCAAGGAGATATAAAGTGGAATCTTTCTTTGCAGATCATATGATTGTATACATAAAAACCTAAAAACTCTGCTAAGAAGCTGATACACCCTTTGAGCAAAGTAGCAAGTTAAAAATTAGTACACAAAAAAAACTTCCCATATACAAATGACAAACAGACTGAGACAGAAATCAGGGAAATGATACCTTTCACAACAACCCCCAAATAATACAAAATATATTGTGGTAACTCTTACCAATCAAATGAGGAAACTCATGTGATACAAACTTTAAGACATGGAAGAAGGTATCAGAACATGGAAAGGTCTCCTGTGCTCATGGATTGATGGATAGAATTACTATCATGAAAAATGGTCAACATATGAAAAACAATCTACAGATTCAAGATGATCCCCATCAAAATTCCAACACAATTCTTCAGGATCTTGAAAGGACAAATTTCAGCTTTATATGAAAAAGCAAAATACCCAATATAGCTGAAAGAAACATGAATGATAAAAGTCTTATGATGAGACATAAGCATCTCCAATTTGGAGTGTCCCACAGAGCTATGGTGATAAAAACAGCATCGTATTGCCACACAGACAGACACAGTAATCAGTGGACTCAAACTGAAGACCTAGACTTAAATCCACACACCTATGGACACTGAGTTGCTTTGTTTTTGTTTTTTATAAAGAAATCAGAAACACACAGGGGGGAAAAAAACAGAATGGAAGAAGAAGGTTTACCAACAACACATCCAACAGAGGGTTAATATCCAAAATATATAAAGAACTCAAAAAAACTAGATATCAAGAAAACAACTCAGTTTAAAATGGAGTGCAGATCTAAACAGAGAATTTCCAGCATAGGAAACTCAAACGGCTGAGGAAAGCTTAAGGAAATGTCCAGCATCCTTTGTTTTCAGGGAAATGCAACTCCCACGCCCGTCAGAATGGCCAAGACCAAAAGCACAAGTGACAACGCATGCCGGCGAGGCTGTGCAGTAAGGGTACAGTCATCCATGGGTGGCGGGAGTGCAAACTTGTACAGCCGCTATGGAAATCAGTGTGGCAGTTCCCCAGGAAGATGGGAAACAATCTGCCTCACGATCCCGCCGCACTGCTCTTGGGCATGTATACTAAAGGACTCCACCGAGACGCTTGCTCAACCATGTTCATTGCTGCTTTATTCATAGTAGCCAGAAACTGGAAACATTCTAGACTCCGTTAACAGATAAATGTGGTCCAGTTACACAATAGGATATTATTCAGCTGTTTAAAAAAAAAAAAAAAAAAAAAAAAAAGATGAAATTCGCCAGTAAACGGGTGGACTAGGAAAAAAAAATCATCCTAAATGAGGTACCCTGGACCTAGAAATACGAATATGGTATGTATTTATTTGTATGTGAATATTAGTTGTTAAGTCAGCGATAGAGTAAGGGGCTAGAAGGGAAAGATAGATCTCCCTAGGAAAGGAAAATAGGATAATTATGGGTGAAAGACTGAAATGGGAGGATCAAATGGGGAGGGGGAGAAAAAAAGGGAGACTAGGGAGGGAATACGAGGAAAGACATCTAATTTTAAGGGCCATTTGAGGAGGGGTATGGGCACCTAATACAGTAGAAGCCTCCTATATATATATATATATATATATATATATATATATATATATGTATGTATATATATAAAGGCAATCTAATTGAAGTAGCCAAATAATGGGGGACAAAGCGCTCCATCTGGACATCTGCTGTCACCAAATGAAGCTTCCAGTACTGGGAAATGGGTTATAGTCAATCAAGTTATTCGTCAACAGGGTTCCCATGAACCCTTTTGCCATCAGGGACTCTAAACCTCCAATACCATCAGTCCAGTTAAACACAGTTAAACAATCTCTCTTATAAGTTGCCTTGGTCGTGGTGTCTTTTCACAGCAATAGAAAAGTAAAAACAGAGGGAGAGCAGTGGTCATTCATATCTCTTCTATCTCCATGCCTGAGAGCCTATAAATCTACATCTGAGTAAGCAAAAAGCGTGACTTTACTAAATACACCATGCTAGTTAGTTTTTATTGTCAGCTTGATACATTTAGGAAAGAAGGGACATGAGAGAAGTTGCTGAGAGGACTCTCCCCGCCCCTGCCCCCCCCCCCCAATATATATATTTAAAAAGATAAGGCTCGAGGGTTTGGATGCCCACAAAGCCACCAGGGGGCACTCGAGGAACTTGCTGAAGGCCAGAGTGGCCTGAAAGCCAATTTGCTGGCTGTATCACTGGGGAGCTTGAAATGCCCAGATGAAGCTGGACTTCTCCCTGGTGCAGGCCAGATTCTGCCAACAGGAGGGAACGGGCCTCAGGAAGTCGTGCTTTGTTCCCACACTGTCCGGAAAAGGCCAAGGTGAGCTACCTTGTGTCCCATGGGAGGATTTGGTGTTCTCAGCCCTCCCACCTGGCTACGGTTTTCCCTTCACATCTGCTAGACAGCGGGGAGAACGTGCCTAGATGGGAGCCCCTTGTGGCCCCATCACTCTTGGGCTCTTTCTGTCTTGCTTGTTTTTTAAGGGAGGAAAGGGTTTATTTCAGCTTACAATTCCCTCAGGTCATACTCCATCCCTGGGGGGCGGGGGGGGGGGGGGGGTCAGGGCAGAGCTGACAGGAACCCGGAGAGAGAAACTGACATGGAGGAGCACTGTACTGCCTTGCTCCTCCCCTCACTCTCAGTTCATATTTCCATTATTAACTAAACAAAGGCAGCTGCATGAGAAACAATGTTAGACATCAGTTAATGCTGTGCACACACTAGGAAAATACTCCAAGATGGGATCCTTGGGACCCAGATTCTCTGTTTAGCCTTGCAAGTATCGCCCTGTACCTGGGCCTCTTTGCTAGAACTGAGGCAGATGGGACAGAAGCCATTCACAAAGTCTCCTTCGTTCTCGACTGGTTTTTCCTGGGGCTTGTATGCCCACAGTCTGCCTTCCCCTGGTGTTTTGTTTTGCAAGCACTCAGCTGCTCACAGTGATCCACCGCCTGACCATGTTAAGAAGAAGCTCTCAGAAACAATTCCTGGTTTTCCTAAGCTGAGTTGTGTGATAAAGTCTCTACCCACATCCTCCCCAAAGGTGACTCGCTCCTTGGTACAACTGTCACAAATTGACATCTCAGAGTTTGTGTTTAGGTAACCCTAAGTGTAATTAATAACAGCCCCAAAGCTCAAGAGTAGCGGTGTTGGTGATTTTGATAGCCAAAAAGACAGTACAAAGAGCTCTCTTTAGGAGAGGAGCCACAGTCACAAAACACTCATTGCAACGTTACTGCTTATAAAGTTATACAGTTACTAGATTGTGGTATATTGTAATTAGTTATTGTATGCTTCTTCCTTCATCTAATTTACAAATTATACTTTACAGTAGGTGTATATGAATACAGAAAAACAGAACATACAGGGGTTGATAGTCTGCAGCTTCAATCATCCACTGGGGGACTCCTGAAACGTATCCTCTATAGATGAAGAGGGGCACTATAGCTTCCTAGGGACCCTGTAACAAAATACTACAGCTAAGTGGCTTAAAACAACAGAAATGTCTGTCTGTCTCACACTGCTAGCCGAATATCCATCACGTGCGTGCGTGCGTGTGATTACACTTCTCTAGAGCTCTAAATCAGGCTTCCTCACTGCTTCTGGTGCTTATGTTCAGAAGTGTTTGGTCTTTCCTGAGATGGAAGATGGTGGGTCATCTTCCCTCCGTCTGCATCTTTTTTTATGAAGACACTGGTCATTAAATTGAGGCCTCTTGCCTCAGTGACCCTGGAAATCTCTCAAAAAAGACAACATTCTGACTGGAACTTCAACAGGTCTGTTAGGGAAATGGACAAAGTTCAACTCATAACAGGAACCATGTTTTTGGAAAAATGACTTCTAAAAGCCTGTGTTGATGAAGCCTCATGAATAAGGAATACTAGTGGGCCACAGCTCCCTGAGGACCCAAGGTAACATTTTAAATCTACCAGGTGTCATAACAACACGTGGACAACCATGTGATAGGAAGCTATGTGAGCGACTCTGGTGAGACTAACAGCATTATAAACCATTTGAGCTTCAAGACTCAGATGACTCAATTACTCAAGACTCATTTACATCAGGTAATTGGCTAATGCTAAAATGTAAACTGAGGCACAACCAAGTTTTAGAGCATATTTGAACACGCACCTGGGCAGCTCCAACACCAGTGTGGCCCAAGCACTTCACATGAAAACTAGGTCATCAGGGAGGCCACCAAGAACTAACCCATGAGGATGCCAAGCCAATGTTTAAACAGTTCCACAGATGTTTATTTGGTCTCTTCCCATTGGAGAGTCCCTGGTTATGTAAGGGGTTTTTGGGGGCTACTTCTGATTGGTTGAGTTTAAGTTTTGTTTTTCTGCAATAAGCAAATGCATACATAGTTCAGCTTATATACATTTTGCTTATGTTTTCAAACCACGCAAAGCTAAGGTTGTGTAGGAGGAAGACTATGACAGCTGCTTCCTTTTTAATGCTTTGGGGCCTGGCCTCTCTTTTGTACTTTAACACTATGGTCACCAATACAGAAAATCAAATCCAAGCAGAGAGAGACAGAGACAGACAGAGACTGTTGTACAAGTACAAAAAACTCATCATAGAGTTGCTTTTTATGGTGAACTCAGATTATCTGTACACAGTAAATGTTTACAAAGTCAGATTCCTTTTAAGGACCACAAGTATTCACCACATGCCAAAGGAGGCCCTTCCTCTGTTTGCCACCACCAGCGGGCCCATGGTTCTCTTGGGTTTCAGTCGGATTGCTTATGGCCCATCAGGCACTGGTCCCCACAGGCCCCACTTCAGTTCCTGCCAAGGCCGCTCGATGAACAGCGTCAGTGCCAGCCCACAGAAGAAGGTCAGCACACAGTGTCCAGAGAAGAGATAGAACTGTGGACAAAGAAGGCGCAGTGGACAGCTTACTCCACGGTCCCACCCATGTTTGGATCTGAGAATCTGCTGCCCCAATGCCACGAAGCAGAGCAGAGAATAAATGGTCCCAAACCTCAAGAGTTTACCCTGGGCTAAAGCCCCACCCCCTCTCCTTCAGCTAAACCAGAGAGCAGAGAAACTCTAGAAAAGAATGACACAGAGCCAGCTTCTAAGAGAGCCAGGTGTTTGCGATGCTCCTCCAGGCAAGAAGTGGTAGCAAGACAGCACCACGGGCCAGGCGCTCGCTCACCATGTTGGTGTCGGTGTAGTGAATGAGGGTCTCCTGCAGTCCGTTGTAGAGAATGATCACAATGGGATGTACGAGGTAGCAAGCATAGCTGATGCTAGCTGGGAGACTCCAGATGCCCCAAGAAAGCACACGCTTCACCAGGCCTGGGGGGAAGTAGTACAGAGTCACAGAGTCACAAGCCTGCCTTGTAATGGGAGTTTTCATTCCCTTAAAAACTCACTTACGTTACATTAACGTGGTTTTGTTTTAATCCCAAGTGTGGGACTTTAGTTTGTCCTTCGGTTTGTTCCACAGCTGAGAATTGCCTTGTGCAGGGGTGTGATCTTTGCTGGCCAGAGTTATTTGAGTTCTGAGGACTTTAAAGGGTATAAATACAAGAGCCTAGAGGGAGAAGGGGCGGTAGCTGGAGGGGGTCGATGGAGGCCGAGTTGGTGCATTGATTTGCTGGTTTGTTGGTGGTTTGCTGGTTTCCTGGACTGCTGGATATCCCAATGACTGAGATTGGTATTGCCCTAAAAAGAACCCGACAACCCTACCCAGCCAAAGGAAGTAAAGCGGTCTACATCCCCTTTCCCTTCTGATCTTCTTTTTCCCTACCTGGGGTTGGAGGATTAGAAGGGAGGTATAGGCTTTAAGGAACCCCCAAATAAAGTAGAGTTTGAAAAACTAGTGCCAAAAAAGAGAAACTAGTGTCGACTAGTCTCTGGTCTCTGGTATTACCTGCCACATTGCAGGTTTTCTCTTTTTAAAAGTGTGTGTGTGTGTGTGTGTGTGTGTATGGGTCCCTTGGAGGCCAAAAGAAGGTATTGGATCCCCAGAAGCTAAAGGTGGTTGAGAGCTACCAAGCATGGATGTTAGGACCAAACTCAGGTACTTCAACAACAAATACACTTAACTGCTGTGTCATCTCTCCAGTCCCTTTAGGCCTCTATTCTGTCTCTTGGCATCTCCCAGCCTTTTCCCTGCCAGTATTCTATTACAATGCCTTGCAAGGGAAGACTTCACCCTTATCTATTACTGGATCCTAAATATATAGACCATTGTATGGCACAAAACAAATATCCAAACACCTATGCAATTAAGTGAACAAACATGTAAACATTTAGCCTGGCCCCCAACCACTGATAACACCTGGGGTCCCTTTGGTGACTGTTTCCAGGAGGCCTGGGATACATGTGTTCAATCAGCAAGGGTGATTGAGACACCTGTTTTCTCTTCAAGCCTTGCATTCCCACCACATTGGCTGCGGCTGAGCAGCTCTCATCCACAGCCTAAATCTAAACTCATCCAATGAGGTCCCTGGAGCGCACAGCTGTCTTACTTCCTCCATGGCCCTCTTCCATGGCTTTAAGGATTCAGAGAGGTTTGTAAACAGATTTTTTTTTTTTTTCTGAGTAGTGCCTGAGTGGTGTTTGGTCGTACCTCTTTACCTCATTCCTACCTCAGGCCAAATAGAGAAAGGGGAAGAAATGTCACAATTCTTGAACATACCTATAATCAAGGGAAAGTTCCTTTCTTTCTATGCATGCCGTTCATCTGCTTGGCCCTCTGTCCATCAAAAGCCAACAGCATGAAAATATTCTCCTTGGTTACGGAAGAGGTCTAAGTGACTCTTTAGCCTCCTCCCCTGATAGAAAGTGGGGTCCGGGGTAGGTGTGACCAGAGCCTTGTCCTCTGTTACCACATTGCATCATTTTCTCACTGTCAGAGTTCTTGTCCAGCCTCCAAACTAGCCAAACTAGCTTTTCTGGGGAGACCCAAACCTTGGCCTTCAGGACCTACCTTAGTACATAAACCAACATAAAAACTGAAAATAATCTATGGGAGTTATTTATCCCAAAGATATAGACAAACTACGCTTCCCGGGTTGGTATCGAATATCCATCCCTACCTCTGGTGTACACCCTTGTATTTTAACTTTGTCACCCTCTGGAGTAAGGTGTGAGCTCACAAGCGGAGGCAGCGGCCCCTCCTACCTCCATAGCCTTCCTGACAGGCAAAGATGACCCAGCCCACAGCCGTGGCCCACAGGGTCCGATGGAGGGCCTGGTAGATGGCAGCAGGCACAGAAGAAGTCGGAGAGGTATCATCCATCATATATGCCAGGGCGACGACTACAAGCAGGCTCAGAAGGGAGAAAGTCCAGCCCAGCATGGCCTGCAGCTGAGGGGAACAAGAGGCATCCACAGCTCACAGATCACTGCACCCTATTGCACACGCTCACTTCTTTGGTGCCGTTTCTGTCATTTCAGATCTCAGTGTGTAAAACTCGATCACTACCGACTTGACTAAAATAAAATTTCAGCTTAGGGGTAAAGGATGTCTGTGAACTATAAGGGGATTCAATGATCTGGATGAGTAGCATGTGCCTATCATCCCATTGCTCGGGAGACTCAGGCAGGAGAACTATGAGTTCGAGGCCAGCTGGGTTACATAGAGAGACCCTACTACCTCAAAAGTCAAAAAGTAACTGTACAAAAATAAAAACGTCTTAAAAGGCATGTTGACTCTGCATGTTCAACTGTCATTCGATCATTATGATGCTTCCGTGCACATCCACAGTGTGCTTAGATCATATTAGCTCCTACTAGTCCCCACATAACCATCTCCCCTCCCTCGGGACACCTTCCTATCCCTGATGGTTGCCCTGCTACTCTTACACATTTACTTTTCAATAAGCCTCGGTCCATTCAGAGAAAAGCAGGGAGGAATGGAGGTGAGGGATTAAGGGTTTGTGGTGACAGAAGAGCCCTGCCCCTTGATTGTGGTGACATGTACAAATCTCTACCAAGCACAGCAATTCCCAGAACTACACACACACACACACACAGAGAGAGAGAGAGAGAGAGAGAGAGAGAGAGAGAGAGAAACGGGCAGTCTCAGGTCCACGGCTGAGATGTCAGTTCCTGGGGATGATAATATGCCATGGTTCCCCAGCACAGTCAGCACCTTAGGCAAAGTTGGTGAAAGGACATCCAAGACTGCTCACAGTTTGTTTGTTTGTTTTTTGTTGTTGTTGTTTTGTTTTGTTTTTAGCAATTTCTCCCAAATATATAATCAGTTCAAAACCAGTTAGAAGCAAACTTTTCCTTCCAACATTCCCTCCATTCCTGATGTCCTACTCTGTCCTTTAATCAAAGAAGATGCCTCCATGGAATGGAAGAGACACCATGGGAAGAGAAAACAATCTCCAGCTCGAAGAACAGATGTGAGGTAAATCCTGGCTGGTTTTAAGTCCTGCATCTTACGCCACATCTCTTGATCTCTTCAGACCCAGATCTATCTCCCAAGGCGCTCTTGCTTCTCTGTGCTCTAGCTGGTAGGGTGTCATGATGACTATGCTGAGGAAGCTGTCTCCCATCTTGACTCTGAGACCCACTTGAAACTCAGCTACTTGCCCTAACCTGGGCTGTGAAAGGAAAGGAGACTGTCATGGATTTCCCACTCTTTTACTTTGAACTAAGTCAGTCTAAGCCCCTCGCCCTTTGCTAATTCTTTGGTGTCAACAGGCCTGCAATGTCAAGAAACACAGCTGAGCCCATGCTGTCCCCCGCTCCTTGCCTGCCTGTCTGCTCACAGAATCCCCCCTATCTCGTCCCTGTAATGTCCAGCTTCCTCTAGTAGGAACCACAGTCTTTATTCTTCCCAACTGAGTTGCTTCTCCAGCTCTGTCTGCACTCCTAACTCCATGCCCCCGACCCCGACACTGGCCCTTGATATGGTCCCCAATGCTCCTTCTTTGTCTTACCTTTTCCCTCTGCTAATACCCCTTTCTCCTTGGAGCCTCATGTAACCTGGGCTGAGCTCAAAGGTCTCTTTGATGGTACTGTCTTATAATCTACAGCTGGACAATACATTTCCAGAGCGCTACAACACCAACGTGTAAAAGATATCTACCCTCTTCCATACATCCACCTGTCCTGGTGAATCTTTTTGTTTGTTTGCTGGTTTGTTAGGGTGATTTTTAAAAATAGGTTCTCATTATGTATCCCCAAGCTGGAGCCAGAAATCATTCTGGTCCTCCTGAGTGCTGGGATTACATATGTGCCACCACACCCAGAAAATACTATTTCTTAATGTTGCCATGAGTGCTACCAGATTTGCCAAGGAGGAGGGCTTCTTCTCTAAACCGTCTATGACAAAGCCGAGGCCACTGAAGGTCAGGCCTAGCGGAGGCCTTGGAGACAACAGTTGTGCCCCAATAGTGCAATTGGATTCTTGGTCCTTTGGCTGAGAAAGGAGAGCTGGAGTCTAGCTAGAAGAGTCCTCCTCATGCGTTAGCATGGACACACAACACAGGCAGCACAACGAACCCAGCAGCCTGGTTCTGCCTGCACTTGGCTTGGAAGAGCCAGGCCAGAGAGGCCACACCAATGCCAGCCAGACTTATGCCCTTACATGGAGACAAGGGGACAACATACCGTAGTTTTGAGAATGTTTGTCGGGCAGTCTGAATGCATGAACATGCTCAGGAAGAGGCCCACAAGGAACGGGCCGCACCGACAGTAAGGCTTGGTGTAATACTCTGAGAAATACAGCACAGTCTCATTTTCACTGGAAAACAACAAGAAAGCAAGACAGAAGCTCAGCTTTGAGCTGGGTGAGGAAAGGGGAGTGTCCTCTGAGATAATCTGCAGCTCTAGAGCCAGATTTCTCAGTGATGATCCACACACAGTGATGGTCTTGGCCCTAGACTCTAGAGCCTTGGGTCACAGCTGGTTTGTTTAAATGCTGAATTCCCTTGGGCTCTGTACCCAGATCTCAAGGATGTACGGTGACTTCATTTGTTTTAAGTACTCACTCATGGTGATGGATCCACTCCCTCCAGGAAAGTAGAAGAATTTGAGAGAAGAGGAGTTCCAAATGAGCCGGAGTCATTTGAAAACCAGGGCATGGTGGTGCATGCTTTTAATCCCAGCACTTGGGAGGCAGAGGCAGGTGGATCTTTGTGAGTTCTGGGCCAGCCAGCCCAGGATAGCCAGGGCTGCATAGAGAGACCCTGTCTCAAAAGAAGGAAGGGAGGAAGGAGGAGGAGAAAAAGGAAGAAGAGGAGGAGTTGTGAATATGATCAAAATACGTAGTACATAGTTCAGTTAAGACTACATAATAAATACTATAGGAAGAGGAAGAAAAAAGAGAAAGAGGAAGAGGAAGAAAATACTGTCCAATACTAGAACACCCAACTATGTCTCTGGACACCAACAGCAGGAGACCTGAGAACTTATTAGGAGGCCAAACTCATGCCTCCCCCAGGAACACTGAAGAGGACGAAGCTGGCAGTGGACATTCACACCCTCCAAGTGATCAGTGTCCCTCCAGTTTGAGTGGCCATCAAGGATGTCCAGGTGACACCCAGGCCCACTGAATCAGAATCTGGACATGGGGCGCAGGGCTGAGGGTTTTGGATGTTTCCTGGCACTCCAAGAAGAGAGCAGCTTGAGAACACCTGCTGGGAAGTTTTTGCTGTTTCTCATCAAGGCTGGAAGATTCAGCTGAGGCTTCTCCATGCCCACAGAGAGGTTATCGGAGGTGGGGAAGTTGTTCGAAGATTAGTGGCTGGTTCTTCCGCTCTGACTAGGAGCTCTTATCTAAGTCATTTCCCTGGGTCCCAGCACCAGGCAGTCTAATTCAATTGGTCCAAGTTAGGATGGGAAGCCTCTGTTGGACCTAAAAGCTGCAGTGGTGGCAAATGCCTCTAATCCCTGCAGTTAGGAGACAGAGGCAAGAGGACTGTGAGTTCAAGGCCAGCCTGTATTGCTTAATGCATTTAAGGCTAGCCTGAGCTAAAGAATGGACTCTCTCTGTCTCTCTCCTTGTGTATGTGTCTCTCTCTGTTCATATATGTGTGTGTGTGTGTCATGTATATTTATAGCAAATATATAAACTCTATTATAAATAACAAAAAATCCAACAAATAAATACTCCCCAAGGGACTCTAATGAGCCTCTAGGGTTAAGAACCATGAGGCTGCCTCCTCTGTCACCAGTACACCCACAAAAGCAGATGACATGGCATGAAAAAGGGCATCATGCTCTCCTAGCCAGGAGGCTTGCAGTGAATTCACCCACAAATACAAATTGAGCACTTATGCATAGTTATGAGCCATAGTATGTGTCTGTGTATGTGTGTGGGGGTGGGTGGGTGGGTGTGGGTGTATGAATCTACATGCATGTAGACACCAGGAGACAACAGCCTCGGACACTGTTCCTCAGATCCACCTTTTTAATTTAATTTGTTTTCTGGTGTGTGCTCACGTGTGCCTGCCACAGTGCAGATACAGGGGTCAGTCAACAACTTGCAGGAATCAGCTCTCTCCTCCTATCATGTGGGATAAACTTAGGTCCTCGGGTTTAAAGCAAGCAGCTTTACTCTCTGAGCCATGTGGACTCTTTTGGTTGTTGCTATTTGCTTAAGAGATGGCCTTTTTCAGTCTGGCTGGCCAGCAAGCCCCAGGATCTACCTGTCGCCACCTCCACAGTGCTGAGATTACAAGCATCCACCATGATGCTTTTTTGCTGTTGTTGTTTGAGACACAGTTTCTCTGTGTAGCCCTGGCTGTCCTGGAACTCACTCTGTAGACCAGGCTGGCCTTGAACTCACAGGTTCGCCTGCCTCTGCTTTTCAAGTGCTGGGATTAAAGGCGTGCACCACCACCACCCAGCCTCTTTCCCCCACTCCCCGAATGAGAGTTTTGGAGTGCACGCGCAGGTCTCTGTGCTTGCCTTGCTCTCTTCCCGGAGCCCCTCAGGCTGGCTTTATTAGAGGTCAGTTAAGGCTGCTTTGGAAAGTGTTACATTTGCACACACATTTGAAAGAAGTGCTGAAGGGAACCCTGGCAGATCTCAGATGCTAACGGAAGATTCTTCTAGACCAGGAGAGCAACAGGTGCAACAGGTGCACACGCCCGGGAGAGACCAGGGTGGCTGTTCTGCAGTCAGCAAGTAAAAGGTTGAAGCCGGGTGACTTCTGGAAGAATCTAGCAATCGGCTGGCTTACCTGACTTTCGCCTGTGCAGGTCTGCGCTGAGAAGAGTCTAGCTCCTGTTTAATACACTGAGCTATATATCAGGATCATAAGTAGCTTGATGTGGAGGCAAAAGAGCTTTGAGGGCTAGGTCCTAGATCCAAATAACACCTATGCCACCCCTTAACTGCTTGAAGAGGTAACCCCAATTTCCTTAGGGGTTCAGTTTCTCCATCCAGCAAGCTATCTGGTATCTACACTAAGGGAGAACCCCATTTCAGCCACACGAGGGTGCTCCTGTCCTCTGAGAAACATTTCCTTGAGCAGAATGCACTTTAGAAGACACCCCACCACCACCCCACAAATTGAAAGGTTGGGAAATTTGGAACTTTCATCCATATCAAAGGTGTCTAACCCAGTGTTTCCGTGAGTCACGGGACAAACAGCCTGAGGATTCTGCAGACCTCTCTGAGATATACCAGTCCTGGTGAGAGCAGGCAAGGGAAAGAGAAGCCCAAGCTAGAGCATGTTACCTGGCTGCTGATGGAGATGCCACCGGAAGTTTATAAGCCAGTGTGAGCAGAGCAGTGGCAGTGAAAGATGCCAGGAACAGCAGGGCCCCGAGGAGAGCAAGGACACGTTTACTTCTGCAGAAAAGAGGGTAGAGAAGGAACACCTTTCAGCTGCCTTCAACACAGCATCAATGAGGCACCACAATCCCAGTAGCCCTGTGGCCTTGCCCTCAAGGGAGGAAGTGGGGACTTCAACAGAGCAGGAAATGCTGAGTGGGCCGGGAGTTCCTGGACAGCCTGATCTTGACCAGTGACAAGCAGTGAGACCATGGACAGGACCTTGAATTTGGGTTCCTCTTCTAGACAGGGATAGTAATAGGGCCCTTGCCTGCTCCGCCCAGAAGCTTACACTGTGGCTCAAAAGGAGACCATCCTTGGGACGGCTGCCTGTCGTCTGCAGGGCACTATATGGATATAATTGGTGATTGATTTAGGAGAGAAGTGAGTTGTTCAAGGCAGAAGGGAATACCGATTTGACACAGCCACCCACTCCAGGGAAGGGAGGGAGGATAACAGAGCAGGGAAGAGAACTCAGCTCTCCTTGCCAGCATAAGCCTAAGTCAGAAATGTATGGATGTGGGGGGGGGGGAGCTCATGTGGGAGTGGGGAAGGGGAGCAGGAAGGGAGAGCCAATACAAGCAAGGTAAGCTGTTGAGGTGGCCAGCGCTCAATTCTTCCAGAACATTCTATGGCTTTCTGTAACATGCCCCAGAACTGTCTGAGGGGGTAGCTGCTCTCCCACATGCAGCTACACACAGTGAGTCCCTGCATACTCTGGGGCTGTGCATAAAAAAACACCAGCGGTCACAGAGCAGGATGCTGTGGCCAGGGAAAGGTCTGAGGACACGGGTGCTGAGTGCGGCACTGTCTGGTTACTCAGACCAAAATTGGACGGATTGGGACTGCGAAGATCTACTGTGGCACAGAAATGCAGAACACTCATGTGCTCGGCTCAGTTTTGGTTTGGTTTTTAAGTAGTCTCACATTGCTATTCAAGAGCCTCAAGACTTCCACGGCCTTTGACCCCATTCATTTCCCTCAGGAACTGCAATCTGAAGAAACGCTGGAGTTGGAGACAAATGTTTGCCATGAAAATATTTGTGGGAAGTCATTTATGAAAGCATACAATTGGAAACAACCCAAGCATATAACAACGGGAGAGGGCACCGGTAAATTACAATTCATTCAGGAAGTTGAATGTTAGATAGACGTTACGATTATAGTTACAATTAGTAAAATAATGGAGTAAAATGTGGGTTCACAAAACTATTCTTTAAGAGGTGTGGAGCCTCTTGCTTTAGTCCTTAAAAAGATCAGAAAGAATGCACCAGAGCCTTCACAGTGAACCCAGTTTGCCATGAATGATGGGCGAATATTTTCCTTTCTCTTAATCCTAATGTTTCCTAAACTGAACACATATTTTAACAGTAAAGAATAATATATTTCTTTTTAAAAATGCACACTGTAAATCTCCCTGTGAATTACTGAGACTGTAAAGTGTTTCCAAAACTAGCAAAATTAAGGTGATAAATACAGGCTATGAGGCAGCAGGTACGCTGGCACATTGTTAAGCTGTAAATTATTTCCCTCTTTCCAGGGAGCAATCTCCCGACACGTAACAAGCATTAAGGAATCACTGCCACCCTTTGACCTGGTAATTCCACACAGAAATATGTCCCCATGGAAACAGCTACAAGGAAAAGCAGAGTGCTCAAAAACAGTTCGACACAGTGCCATTTATAATCGTGAAAAATTGGGCAGCATCTAGATACCCAACCATAAAAATGAAATATAAATCCTGAAACTGGCAGGTACGCGGGCTGTGTCAATATGCAGACATGTTTATGTGAACGGCTGGGATGGAAAATGCTGAGCACTGGGAATCAGACACACTGGTGATAAATCTGGGGAAAGCGCACTGATTCACGTGTGGCCGAAGAAGGCGTGGAGGAGGGCAGTGGAGAGCGGGTAGTTTCTGGAAAGTTAATTTCCTAAATTTTAAAGAGCTGCTTTCTACAAAGCTGGAACGTATCTGGGAACTCCAGGCCAAAGGACTCATGGAAAGAAAAAACAACCTCTCAGACCCACTTTCCATGGACGAAGAAGATCAGCGGCGTCATGAGGTGGAACTGGAAGTCGCTGGCGAGGTACCAAGTCCAGCCGTTGCACTAGGGGAAAAGAGAAGTGGATTTGACTCCTCCCCTCCAGGTACTGGGGCTGTTCAGTGTTTCCATGGGAACAGGAAACTGAAACTCGACATCCTTCATTACTCAGTCACCTTTGGGCCAAGCCTGACAGGTCTCTGGGAGATTCAGACATTTTTCTCCCTAGTTTGTTTAAAACACACACACACACACACACACACACACACACACACACACACATTATAGCTTGTCTCCTGGGACAGCCTTAGGGACTGACTGGAGTCATGACTCAGGAATGCAGGAGGGAGCTGCCCTTAGGTTTGGCTGGATTTCCAAGAGGCCAACAAGGTTCTTTCCCTTGCCTGGTTCCCACCCCCAACTTGAGGTGGGAAAATTGTGTTCTGAAGGCAAATGCTTGGCTCACACTCAGAGTTCCCACTAGAGCCAGCATGGGTGCCTGGCCAAAGCCACAAGTGCCCACCCACTCTCCATGCTTGTGGTAAGTGGAGCCGGCCATTGCTGACATGTTTTATCCCATGTAAGGAGATAACTAGAGACAAATTTCCTGTCACTTGGGTCCCAGGGCCCAACAGAGCCCAAACTTCCTCAATAGAGAGGGAAGCTTTGTCCACAGTTAAAGAGATACATTAGCCATGGAGAAAGTATGAACGGCCTAGCTTGAGGACCATGGCACCTGCGCTTCCAAAACTCTAAGGTGGGCTCCCACTCAGAGGAAACTGACTCCTGTCCTTGTCCCTGATTTTTTGATATAAGGGCCCAAGCTGGTCTGTATCCAGGAAAATGGCTCCACCTGTCTCCTGGGACTATCATAGACAAGCCCTCATCTTCAAATGGTGCCCCGTCAAAGCTGCTGGGCTTTGGCCATCTCGTAAGTGGGTGGTTAAGGGCAAGAATTAGGGACCCGCCACACATGTCAGCCTATAGGAGGAATTACTGTCGCGTCTGAGTCATAGCTACCTCATTTCCTTTCACTCCAAGTTCATTATTGTCCTGGTTGGATTTTTATTATTTTTTATTGTTGTTGTTTTTTTTTTTTATTATTTTGTCAGCTTGAGACAAGTCAGCATTTTCTCAGAAGAGGGAACTTAATCTGAGAAAATGCTTCCATCATATCGGCCCATAGGCAATGGGAACATTTTCTTGATTAATGACTGATATGGGAGGAGCCAGCCACACTGTGGGCGGGGCCGCCTCTGGGCAAGGCTATATGAGAATGCTCGCTGAGCAAGCTATGGTTTTTACTTCAGATCCTGCCTTGAGATCCTGCCCTGTTTCCTGTAATGTGTGAACAGTGGTCCTGGATGTCTAAGCTAAATAAACTCCTTCTGAAGTTGTTTTTGGTGGTGGTGGTTTATCACAATAAAAAGCAAACTGTAACAATTACAAAAATTTGGGGGACTGTGTAGGCGTAGATTTTGTAGCTCTGAACCAGCTCTATCCTGTCTGGCTTGAAGTTGACTTAGAGTTCATGCATAGACTTCCTGTCTGAAAGCAAGGAAACTGTCCTTTTCTGGTGTGGTGACCTGGACTGGTTCAGGAACAACGATGGAGCAGGGACGCTGCCCTGAGACCCAGACAGTCCCACGGCTCACTAGCACCACCGTGCCCCTTTCTTGCTGTATAAGAAGCTGATCCCTGTATCAGTTGGTGTCAGCCTCCCCCCTCCAAACCCATGAAGATATAGTTAGGTTGGCCCTTGGGAAACCGGCCCTACGGTGTAACTGAGACACCCCGTGTCTATCCATACGCCCTTGCAAAACAGCTCATGGGAACTCACGGCATTGTGAACAGACACGAAGTTATTGAGCAGCAGCAGATTCGTCCACCAGGCTCGCCGGCAGTTATCCCAGTGGAACTGCGGCACTTCCCAGACAGGTCCCCAGGGAACAAGCGAGAAGAGTCCAACCAGCAAGCACACCGAGTACAGGTGGAGAAGCTGCAACCTGATGGAGAGGTATGGGGATGATGACGACAGCCCCGGGCCGCCACGCTTTAAGAAACCCGTGATGCTGATGGGCAGCCACCTGGGCCCACAGTCTTGCCGAGCTACCCACCATGGGCTGCCACGGAGGAAAAGGACTGCTGTTGGCTGAGAAAGCTGTTCATGTTACCACTGAAACGGGAGCTCAACTCGAGATAATCCTGTCAAGTAGCTCTTAACCCCATCTCAAATTATAGCCCAGACAAGTCAGAGTGACTCATTCGCAATCACGCATCCGTAAGATGGGTACCCGCTCATTTTCTTCCCGTGTGCCTCATGACACAGAAACGTCTTTCCTCCCTCCGTTCCTTCTCTTCCTTCCCTCCTTCTTTGCTTTACACCTTCTGTCCTTCTCAGCAGGTTTTGACACAACTATAAGTTGAAGATTAATACACAGGGTCCAGGACTGGGTATGTGGCTCAGCTGATAGAGAGTCCTTTTCCAGCTCGCACAAAGCCTCCGGGTGTGAGCCCTGCTAGGACTGGGCATGTTGGTACATGCCTGCAACCCCACAACTCAGGAGGTGGTAGCAGGAGAATTAGAAGTTCAAGGCCATCTCTCTCTCTGTGAGAGAGGCCAGTCTGGACTACATGATACCCTGATGTAAACAAACAAACAAAAACAAACACTTAAAAAAAAAAAGATACATGATTCAGATGAGTGGGATACAACAAAAATATAACAAGCCACATCTGCCATTCATCATGCATTTCCCAGTCGCTGCACTTTTAAAAGCAAAGAACGCTTAACTACCATGAACTTTAATATTACTTCTTCAGCCTGATATGCTCAGAATCTCAACCAACACGAAATCTATTAGCAAGCTGTCTTCCTTTCTGACTCCGTCTTCAGAGACCAGCATGGGCGTTATCATGTAGCCACTCTGTTGAGCACTGTGTCTGGTCACTGAAGATTGGGCTACGTAGATGGAAAGCTGGAAGAGAAGGCATGGAGGGAAGGTGTGCTCAGCCAGGCACAGGGATGGGACTAGAGTCCGAGCCCTGGCTGGCTGGTTGGCTGGATTTTGCAGACAGAAACCTTTTTTTTTTTTTAAATGTACTCCAGGATGGTCTCAAACTCTTGATCCTCCTGCCGCTGACTTCCTTGAGCTGTGATTCCAGGTATGCTCCTCCATGCCCCCCCAAATGCCCTCTTTTTCATGTGTGTGAGATGTGCAGGTGTGTACATGTGTTTGTTTGCATGTGTGGGTGGATATGCACATGTGTGGGTACATAAAGTGTGGTTGGTTGTGTGGAGGCTCAAGGTTATAGGAGAATTATCCTTGCTCACTCCTTATCCACTTAGATAAGGGGTCTTAGTCAAACCCAGAGCTTGCCGATATGGTTGGTCCAGGTAACCAAATGCTCTGAGAATCTCCCATCTCCATCTTCTGCGGCTAGAATTACAAAGGGGCTGCCATGACCACCAGGCATTTCACTTGGGTTCCTGGGGAGTCTGTCGCTTAAGTAACACTGACCATATCTCCAGCCCTTGGAGACCTCTTTTAAAAGTTGTTTTGAGCTACAGTGTGGCTTAGTGGTCGAACAAGTAAGTGATCAGGATGGACAAAACATTGGGTGAGATCCCTAGAACCACATACATACATACATACATACATACATACATACATGAATGAACCAGCAAAAAAATATAATAATAATAATAATAATAATAATAATAATAATAATAATAATGCATTTAGAAATTTAGGGTAGTTTTCACTCAAGTAGGGCAGAGCCTGTGCTCCCACAGCACCTCCAAACATGTGGGTAGGAGTCCAGGGCTGGGTGGGGTATGACAGATGGAAGCTGGCGGGGCTGGAGCTTAAAAGTGCCCACCACAAGGCCAGCACGGTGGTGGACTAATACTAAGCCTGTGGCCCACACCTAGGGATTGGGCCTGCTGTCCTACCTTCTCTGTGATGGCAGCATCCTTCATCTGGAGTCCCCGGTAAGCATTCAAGGCGTAGGGGTGGAATTACTGAGTCGCGTCACCGAGGAAAAACAGGCAGTCATGTCCCAGATCTGCTCAGCTGCATTCACCTTGGTGCCAGTCTCCCTGAGGAAGGCCTGCGGCCTGGGGCCTGCCATGCTTGCCATCTGACTGAAGCCCCTGCAGCTGGGTTTGAAATCCTCTGACTCCAACCTGCCTGGATTCCGTTCCTGCCGTCCATCTCCTCCTCCCTCTGGGAGGGTATCAGCCCCACACCTCTCGGAAGCAGCGCTCAAGACTGATGCTTTGGAAGGGCACCCACTACCCCACCCACCCTGGCTCCACCACCTTCACCGCTTGGGTAATGAAGTCTCCAGGACAGTGTGCCACAGTTGGGGGTGAGGTTGACCCCCGGGGTGAGTGGGTAGCACACCCAAATTAGGTAGGCTGGGGACAGGACCAGAAAGGTGAGGTCTAGTTCTGCCTAAATCACTCACGTGCATGAGAGCCCTCTCACACTTATCTTCTCCCTCCCCTGTACAGAGAGGGCTATGATTGCTGCCTCCCAAGATCCTTAGGGAATCCCATGAGGTAAATAAGACAATAAGGGCGGTGAAATGTCTTCAGTGCCATGAAATTTCCCCTGTGCTACCTATTTGGCCCTGGTTGCCAGGAGAATGAAAGAGCTTAGCCTGTGTCACGGAAGTGTGTGAGGCAGACATGTGCATATCTGGTGCTCGGGATGGGAAATAGGAAAAATCATACATGTTCCAACTCCATTTGCAGGGGTTCACCCCATAAACCTGTCCAGTCAGATCCACCCAATCAGACCTGCCCATCCACTCCTGCCCAGTCAGACCTGCCCATCAGTCTCTGCCCAGCCAAGTTCACAAAATGTACACATTTCACCTTCTAATCTAAGAAAGTAAAAATCTCAGAAACTTCCTTCACATTTATCAGTGGAGCCAATTTAATAGATATTATTATATATATATTATATTAATTTATATTATATACTATATATATTATGTGTACTTAATATAATAATATTATGTATAATATAATATATAATTATATATATATATGTATATATATTGCCCCATTGACCACCTTTAACATTTAATGAAAAAGCCACATACAGAACACTGTCTAGGTCAGCTAAGCCACCTCCCCTGCCCCCCACCTATGAACTTCTAACTGTGGCTCTAGTTGGAGAGATCATACAGGGCTAGGATCCTGAGCACCTCTTAATTTCCCTTTTGACAATGTCTGATCCCATTTACACCTGGAAGGTGGGTGAGTGGATTTTCCTTTTCTTTTTTCTTTCTTTCTTTCTTTCTTTCTTTCTTTCTTTCTTTCTTTCTTCCTTTCTTTCTTTCTTTCTTTTTCTTTTCCTTCCTTCCTTCCTCCCTCCCTTCTCTTCTTTTCTTTTCTTTTCTTTTTTTTTCCCAGACAGTGTCTCACTATATATCTCTAGCTGTCCTGGAACTCACTATGGCTGGCCTTGAACTCACAGATCTCTGCCTGCCTCTGCCTCCTGAGTGCTGGAATTAAAGGTGTTTGCCACTAACCCTGGCTTGGATGTTCTTACAGAGCAGCAGCTTTCATCCCACCTCCCGACTTGTCCCCCTTGCTCCCTTCCAGTGCACTTGCTGCCTGGTGGGCAGAGTAATGTTTGCAGATTGCATGTCTGACACCGTGCCTCCCCTACTGGGACTCGCAAAGGTTTCTGCCCCAGAATAACCTCAGAGTAGCTCAGCGTGGGTTTAGCTGCCCCCAGGTCCAGTCCTCTGCCTTCATCCTCTCTGACCTCCCCCAACCCCCACACCCCACAGGGCTCTTCAGCTACCTGTTACCCCTGACTGGATTGCTCTTTGTTTATAGCATGTTCTTTGCATGGAATATCCCTTCTCCTCCTTCAAGGCCCTGGACAAAAGTAACATTCCCTGGCAACCCTTCAGGAGGTTGTCGCCTCACTTCTGTCTCTAAAGTCTCATGTCAGGGCTCTCAGATCACTATTCTGCATTAATTTGCATTCTGTACTTCAGTGTTAGGCTACTTACTTACTATGTATCTCTGTTCATTAGGATGTAACCTCCCATTGGAAAGAGTTTATTGGGTTAATAAAATGCTGAGTTTTCAGAGCCTAGAACCTTGCCACATACACAGTAGCCTGTGGTGAGTTAATAGCAAAGCCATCTTATCCCCTGTCCTTTTGTTATTGTTGGTGGTGGTGGTGGTGGTGGTTTTCTTATGTAGCCCAGGCTGCCCACAAATTCACTAGGTAGTCAAGGCTAGCCTTGAACTCCATCTTCCCACCAAGTGCTGGGGTTACAAGTGTGCCCTACCATGCTCAGCCTATTGTCTGTCCCCTTGAAGGGATAAATCCAAACTGAATGGAAGCAATGAGCTCTGGGTCCATGAACACTAACATCCAGATGGTCGGAGGCATGGCTATTCTGTCCTTGGGGATCTTGGAAAGGGCCAGGCCAGAATGTGGTGGCTACCACCCACCTCCGGTTCTCAAGAAAATTTTGGCTCAAGTTAGACTCATTCTCTTCCTCGATCAGATCCAAATCCCCACTCTTCCAGAGTTCTCTGTCTCAAAATGCCACTGTATCTGCCATGTTGCTCAGGTTAGGAAATTCACCTGTCTTTGAGTTTCCTGTTCCTGTTCCCACTGGAAGTAGCATGACGGGTTCCACACTTCATCTTGCGCACAAGTCACAAAATCATCACCCCCTCCCACCCAGTACCCCCCACCCTGACACACACATACACCTTGGCTCCCTCTGCCTGAAAAAATAAAATAAAATAAAACACCATTTCCCTAGTTTTTCTATTCCAAAACAAGTGTTCCAGGTTAACCTGCCACGCTCCTGGTTCCCTCACCACCACCACACCCCCCCCCCCAGCTAAGCTGGTTTGAATCTCTGGCCTGTGTGACAAGCCCTCCATTCCAACAAACCTCAGGCAGGACAGTTTGCTCAACCAGAGCCTCGTACCAGGAAGACACGGAAATCCTGCATTTCCCCCTGCGTCTGGAGAGGGCTGCATTGATAAAGCTCAGAAGAAACCACAAAACCACATCGAATAGAGAGCAGTGCCGATCTACTCCGAGCTCCTCCTCATTCCCAGCTTACAGAGAGAAGAGCAGAAAATGCTTAAGTAACAGCCAGAATGGTGGTGATACTTGTGCCGAGGGCTTACTGACTGTTATGCAGCTCTCCAGGTTCTTCATGTCCATTTTCTCATCTCATAAGAAGCTCACAAAGTGATACTAGTTACACATACACACATAGTGAATGTATGAATGAATGACTATATCTGTATTACATGTCATATATCAAAAGAACTTTATCAGCTTTCATTGTAATAGTAACAACAGCTGCCTCACGCCTGAGAGGCTGAGAACCAGGTAGTTCTCATTCCACAAGGCTGGTGCCTCACAGTCCAAAACGGGTGCTGAGAACCCGGGAGCTGCTGGCCCTTAGTCTGTGACACAAACCTGGAAAGTTGGTTCTGCTCTCTGTGAAGGGATCAGCAGCAGCAGGGGTGAATCAACTCAGCAGCTAAAGGGAAGGCCAAATGAGCAAAGGGCAGATAAGCTTGCCTCTGGTGTGCCCTTTTGTGTCTGCAAAAGGGGCCACCTACATTTGGGGTGGGTCTCCCCACATCGGCTAGTCAGGGCAATTCCAGAGTTGAGGCTCCCTTGCTCAAGTGATTGTAATTTGTGGCAAGTTGCTATTAAAACTAACCAACACACTGTCGTGAAATAATTGAAATGATCCTCATTGCTGGAGTGCTAGGAACGAATACCATAATACCACTGCTGGCCTTGTGTCCTGTTTAACTACCTCATTACGTCACTGCTATCACTATTCTATAGTCTACACCAACACCAGAAGTCTCCTGCTTCAACCAGCTGCACATTGCTTAGTAGAGAAGCATGGCCACGACCCACGTCTCACCCAGCACGTCCCTTGCCATGTGCTATTTTTATCATAGCACTGCCGCTCAGACTTCCAGGATCACTTGCAGCTACAGCAGCTCTCCTGCAGATCCCAAGGACTGGACATTTACGGAACTCTACTGCAGCCAGCTGAGATGACTTTGCCATCACCGAAGCTGAACTGTTTTAAGCCAGCTAAAGTCAAACATACATAAGGAAGAAAACTATTTCTTTTAGTTTATTTCTAAAACAAAACCAAAACAAAACAAAAAAGTATTCCCAACAAGGTTAATTTAAGCATTGAGAAATATCTATTTCATAACAATACCAAACAAAAAAAGATATTACAAAAATAAACCTACCTTGTAAACCTTTTGAGAAAATATCTGAGGATGACTTTAGGGTTTATTCCCGCGCTGGTGTTCTGGTGCATCTTTAGAAATGACCTTGCACTTAGCCAACCACTGAGAGAGAGAAAAGAGTAGCCTCAGGAGTTACTTAGCAATACTATAGTCCATCAGTGAGTTGCCGCAATTGTCTCAGTCAGGAAAGCCTAAGTGATGCTGCAGACAAGGACCTCCCCAAGCCTTAAAGCAGCAGTCTTTGTTTGTTTTGTTTCACATTGCTTCTGTTTTTCTCGTGCAGCACATCCATAGCCTGTTGACCAAGACTCAGTGTCTCTCTCACTATGGGCTAATGGAACAATGAGTGCTCACAGGTGACACAGCCATGAACAAGAGAGCTTTGGAGGGTCACAACCTGACAGTTCAGTGTTCTAGCCTAAGGTGACTCATGAAAGCTGTTGGCATGAGGTTCAAGGGTTTCAACATAAGGCATAGTGGCGTGTGAGGTATAACTTGGTGATTAGAGCTAGTAATGTATCCATCCACAGGGCCAAGCACTGGGGTGGTGGTTCTCAACCTGCAGCTCTCGGCCCATGAGGGGCAGGGCGGACCGATCCTTTCACAGAGGTCACATACAGATAGCCTGCATATCAGACATTTACCTTGTGATTCATAAAAATAGCAAAATTACAATCATGAAGTAGCAACAAAATCATTTTATGATTTTGGGGTCACCACAACATGAAGAAATATATTAAAGGGTTGCAGTATTAGGGAGAGCCACTGACCTGGAGGACGGAGACTCAGACTAACTAATGTGTAACTAACAACACCGATAGCTGCTATGCTATGCTATCTCTCTAATTCTCTGTTTCTGTCTCTCTGTCTCTGTCTCTGTCTCTCTCTCTCTCTCTCTCTCTCTCTCTCTGGTAGTATGTTTCATGCATATTAGTATGCAAGTACATGCACCCATGCCACTCATGCAGAAGTCAGGGGAAAGACATCAGTGTCTTCCTCTCTCACTACCCTCCTTATTGCCTTGAGACAAGTCCCTCCCTGAACTGGGAGCTAACTATTTTGAGTGGACCGGCTGGCTCTCTTCTCTGTCCCACAGTGTTGCAGTCACAGGCACATGCAGTCATGCCCAGATTTTTGCATTTATGCTAGGGATTTGAATTCAACTCGTCATGCTTGCACAGCAAGCACTTTTTCATGCAGAGACATCTCCAAAGCACTATTGGTCTATTAAAGCAATCCTGTGACGGACCTCCCTTGCTACAGTACCACACTATTTTCAAAAGTTTTTCCCAATGGGATTGCTCCCAGTTCTCCAACCACGCCCAACTACTTCTCAACCAACATTTGCGGAGTAAACAAGCAAACAGATGGATGTTTGAATCCTACCAGGAGAAAGGGGAGACATTATTATTCCTGTTTTTCCAAACAAGGGAAGAAACTCAGATTGCTAATTAGGCTACTCAAGAGCACAGAATTCCAAGCTGGATAGTGGAGGCTCATACCTTTAACCTCAGCACTTGGAAGGCAGAGGCAGGCAGATCTCTATGAGGGCAGCTTGGTCTGCAGAGTTAGTTCTAGGGCAGCCAAACTACACAAAGAGAACCTGTCTCAAAAAACAAAACAACAACAAAGCCCAGAATTTCAGTTTTGTTTCATTGGTTTTGAGACATGGTTTCACATAGCCTCCAATGGCCTCAAACCCCTGAACTCTTGATCCTTCTGCCTCTACTTCTCAAGTGCTGGGATTACAGGAAGATCACAGAATTCCTAACTGTCACATTCTCATGGTGAATTTACCACTTAGATGTTCAGCTTTGAATCATAGCTTGGTGGTGAGCGGGCCTGTGAGTTCCTTGATCTTTTGGCATTTCGCCCACTCGTTCTCATGGGAGTTCCTCTGAATAGCAAATGTGTTTCCTGTTACACAGCAAGGATGCCTGTGTTGGGCCCTACTTGGAAGGGATCCCGGTGGGTTGGGGAATGCCTCTTAGACTTCCTTTGAAAAGCAGCAAGTTGGATTCCCTATAATAGGAACCAAATGTATAAAGCGACATTGAAAGGAAAAGCACTGCGGGAAGTAGGGCAGCCAGTTCTGATTCTAGCCTCCTCTTCAGGAAAGGACGAATCTGGGCCATCCTTTCTTCTCAGAGCGCCAGCCTTTGCTAAGCAGAGTGTGGGTCTTGCTCCATGTGTGGAAATGTGGTGCTTAGCCCATTAGGAAGGGGGCACTGAGATGAGGGAAAACAGGCTGCGAGCTCCAGAGTCCTGAATAGTCTGAGGAAGGGAACACCCTGCATCAGAGACTAGTAAGAGGCCAGCCCAGGAGCTAGGAAAGGCTTCCCAGACAGTGGCCCACACCTCTCTTCAGAGCAACTGGAATCCTGCTTTTTCTGTGTAAGTTTCAGTGGTGGGTGGTTAAGACAGGAAAGAACTGCAGGCTGAGAACCCCTAAACCAAACTGTGTGGACCCCAGCGTGGGTTGGTGTTTGGGAATGTTTGCATATGTTCAACAAGGTGTTGGGGATGAGACCCAAGTCTAAGAACAAGTTAATCTGTTTCCTACACTGCTGTGCACATAGCCTGAAGACAATTGTAGGCAATATTTTTGGCACACCTGCGTTTTGTCTGGGACCTATTACCTGTAAAATTTCCCACTGATAGTATTTCGTTAACCCTTAAAAGCTGCAGATATTGAAGTATTTTGGGTTTCGGATTTTCAGGGATACTCATCCTGTACGCTTAAGTTCTGATTCTGACCTTAATAGTATGTAGGTGGGCAAATTATTTTGTCTCTGGACCTTGAATTTATTATCTGCAAAAGTGAGGCTGATTCTTCACTGTTCAATAGTAAATATGGAAGATGTGAGCTGGAGAGATGGCTCAGCACTTAAGAGAACTAACTGTTCTTCCAGAAGACCCAGGATCAATTCCCAGCACCCACACGGCAACATACCACCCATAACTCCAGTTCCAGGGGAGCTGATGCCCTCTTCTGGCCCTCACGCTGTTTTGTTTTGCTTTTTCTTCACATTTTGCTAGAGTGAGAACTGGACATTTTCTCATGAATCTACCCCGCTTTCTAGAGCTTGAGAACCACTGAAATGCATGATTTTCATAAATAAAATCAACTTGTGTGGTCTGTCAAGCTGGCTCAGCAGAATAATGACTTGCTGCCAAGCCTAATGATCTGGGTTCAATCCCTGGAACCCACATGGTGAAAAAAAAATTAACTCTTCAGGCTGTCCTCTGACCAGCACACACATATCATTACACACATACACATACAAACAAAGTCTAATAAAAATACTTTGAAAAGTCAACTTTTATAAAAGGCCCATTTCTCAGCATCATTCTAATTCATCTATGACACTGAAGATGCCACAGACAATAGTCTAGGACAACAGCATTATCTTCAGCCTTCCTAACACGGTGACCCTTTAATGCAGTTCCTCATGCTGTAGTGACCCCCAGCCATAAAATTATTTTGTTGCTACTTCATAACTGTAATTTTGCTCCTGATATGAATAGTCATTTAAATGTCTGATCTGCAGGATATCTGATATGCAACCCCCTGAAAGGGGGTGCAAACAGCCGGTTGAGAAAACTACTGATCTAGAAATAAACAGAACCCAATTGCCTGCTCTCGGGAAGGCGAGACTGGCAACCCTTCCTGAAAACCCACAGGTCCCTTAACAAGCATAATGATACAGACTACACAGCAACCTCATCACCTGATCAGGAAGAATGTATCCACCCCGAGATAGAATGGGCCGCTCCGAGAGTAGAGGTACAGTGGGTTTTCAGGCACTCTGGCTTTCCATTCAAGCACATTATCTGTAGCAGATATGGGGGAGAGAAAAAAAAAAAAAAGGCAATGTCTTTTAGCTGAAGGAAACCAGAAGATTTGGCTTTGGGAAAAAGCAAGAGGCGTGTTTTCCACTTCCGTGGGCACTGGGACAACCGTAAGAACAACGAATTTACAGTGGGGATGAGGGTGGTGATTTGCGGGCCCCTGTCGCTCAGGCTGTGTGCTTCCTTGTACTCTTCTGATGCCCACAACCCTCTGGAACTCTCACAGAGTTAGGACAGGTCCGCATCACCTCACAGGCTCCCTGTAGCTGCCCTCGGTGTCTGGCCTTTAGTTCTCATTCACTTGCTTGGTCCTCTGCTGAGAGATGACCTTGGATACTGAGTGGAGGACACTGAATTATGGATGAGAGATTCCAGGGAGTACCAATGAGCAACGGTCCAGAAATGGTGATTTACTGTGGATGCCTCACATTTGGTTATACTTGGCTAGTCTTCAGTAGTGGGGGAAGCTACTTCCTGTCCTCCTTAATTGAGGGAGGGAACACACAATGGCAAAACGTCACTGGGTACCTGGTTTCTACCTAGGGGAGTAGTAGTAAAAGGAGCCACTGATTGCATCCCTGGGAACATTGACCTGGGAGGTCACATGCCATGGCAAGTCTCAGCATGTCTCTAGAACAGTCTGGCTGTTTGTGAGACAGCTGTCAATGTTCCCATCCCATGGCCACATAGAGGGGGCTTTCTTTCCAATGGATGCTGGAAAGGAAGTCTGTCAGCTTCCCATACCCAAAGACAGCCAAGCGGTCATCTGGCTGGTGTGTCCCGAGATGATCCAGAGGAGACTCAGGACACGGATTCCGTTCAGTGTCCGGCAGGTGCCTCCAGGCAGCTCTGAGGTGCACATGGCTGGCATGTTCTTCTGCCAAGAAAAGCACTGCAGAACTCCATCCACAGCTCCTAGAAACCCTGAGCCAGAGTGGAGCCATTACCAACCCTCACAAAAGCTGTACATACCCCCACACCACCCTAAAGTGAGACAAAACTCATGCAGAGACCTCAGACTCTATCTCAAAACCTGGACTGCTTTGGGCGTCCACAGTCCCCGCAAGGCCTATTTCTGGGCTCTCACACTTGACCTTTGAACCTTGACTCCCCCTACCAGTCTCGCACTGATGTCAGCGCTTCACAGTGCCTTGAATTGCTCAAGTTCAGGCACCAACCCCTGATCCCAGGACTTCTTTCAAAGATCAGGAAAAAGTGAAATGCCTGTGAGAGCAGTGAATCCAGGGAACTGGCATTTCACTTGAAAGAGCACGTTGGCGTTGTCCCAAGGACTCTTACTTTGTGCTACGGCCTCCAACACAGGTCAGGTGCAAGCGTTAGAATGGAAGAGGTGGTATGTCAATTCACACTCTTCAAGTTGCTCCTTAAAGTTAGATACTTCTGGCTCTAAGTCTGCCTTGTAACCCTTGGCAAGGGAATTAACTTCTTGGGCCCCAATTTTTACATCTGCAAACTAAGAGTCTAGTTGGATCTTGTAATCATAGGACATTGTGAATAATGCTTATAAATCACTCTAAATAGAGACTACCCAATAGTAAGCATTTACAAGATCATTTCTGTGATTATCAGTGTTTATTTTATTTTAAGGATGGCTAATCTTGCCTACTTAATGTATATCTTGGTTTGGTTTTGTTCTTGTTATTATCTTTGGGTTTTTTAATATAGTGTGGTTATATAGCTCAAGCTGATCTTGAACTTATGACAGTCCTCTTGTCTCAATCTCCCAAGATCTAGGATGACAGGTCTATGGATACACACATACAGTAGATAACCTAACCCAAGAGCTAATCAAATGAATGGAACTGGGACACAAGATTCTCCAAAGTCCAAGACAGCTCTGAGAGGCTTACGTTCTCCTGGGCAAAGCTGAAACACTGTAGGTGCAGATGCGTTCTTAAACAATTAAAAGGTATTCACAAAGGAAGGCACACACCAGCAGCCTCGGTCTTTTGCTTTAGGTTTAATTTCCTGGCATCTTGAGATTCCAGCAGTCAGTCTGAGGTTCCCTGTGATGGCGCCCTGCCACAGGCATGCTCCCACCCTTTATTTAGAGAAATTTTGTTCCAGTCGGCACTATGAGCTGCACTGCCCAGCTCCTGATGTCACCTGATTCCTCCCCAGATTACTGTGAATGAAAGACAGAAGACTGGGGCTCTCAGCCAAATCCTCTGTGCTCCTGAGCCACATTGCCTCATATGTAGAAGAAATGTAACTTTGAGCCCTGTCATGGATTCTAAAGCTGGCTCAGGGCCAGCCTTGGCAAGCAAGCGCTGAATGTACTCTAATGTTATTTTCCCATCTACATTCAACTGTGGGTGAACGGAACCATCAGCGCTTTATAAAATCTTCTGAAAATAGCTACTCTGTAGAGAAGAAAGACTGTTAGAGTCCTATTTTCCTCATTTGTGGACAGAAAGAATCACAAACTATAGAGACAGGGGTGGAGGCCATTGCTGGCTGAACAGTTCATGTGGTCACAGATTCTCAAAGTGGGGGTCCGTGGACCAGTGGCCTCAGCACCACCAAGGAACTGGTTAGAAATGCCCCTCCTTAGACTCTGAGCAACCCTGCTGAGACAGTCTTCAGGATTAGTGCCTAGCGCTTGGCACCTTGCAGGGAGTTCTGATGCTTGCCAAAACTCAAGAACCACCAGGCGTGCACAGCCTCTAACAGGCTTTGAAGCCTTTTGTGTCTCTCAGACCATTTCTGGGGGTCTGACTTAAGGCAACAGACCACAGAGGAAGAGGCCTACTCATGGCTGGAATCCATAGCTATTTTTTTCTTTTCTTTTCTTTTTTTTTTTTTTTTTTTTTTTTTTTTTTTTTTTTTTTTA